GGGGAGGGTCAGAGGGAGAAGCAGACTCCCTGCCGAGCAGGGAGCCCGATGCGGGACTCGATCCCAGGACTCCAGGATCGACCTGAGCCGAAGGCAGTCGCTTAACCAACTGAGCCACCCCGGCGCCCAAATTTTTGTTTTTCTTAAAAGTGTACATGCTTTTGATGTGTTGCTAGGACGAGCTCTTCACTAGTAAAATACAACTTTTTCTGTTTTATTGTTTCAGATTAATTTTTGTCAACTGTTCTATTTTAGGGATCCAGAGAAGAACTGGAATAGAAATTGTGTGAAAGGACTTGTAGCTTCCCTGATTAGTGTGAAAGATACTTCTGCAACCACAGCTTTAGAATTGGTGGCTGGGGAACGGCTCTACAATGTTATAGTAGACACAGAGGTAAATTAATTAAAGAAAATTTACAATTCCTCCTTAGCTGGAAAAATCATGAGCTGCTAGAATTAAGTACTTTCTTGATGTTTTAAGCTATTCCTAAGGTTGGTTATCTTTACAGGTGTAGCTGTTCAGTTAATGACTTTTTATTATATTATTGATTATAGTATATTTGATAAACTGTATTCCCAAAGAAGTCTTATATTTACTTAGGAATCCAGAATGCATATTATCAGTTTTAGACTTTCCATTGTTCAGGATACTAGGCACTAAACATTTAATTGTGGATTCCTAAACTTGCACACTTTCCCTCTGAACGTTTTCTGTCATTAATATTTCCTTATTTCAAATGCACAATTTTTTAGATTACTGGAAAAAAGTTACTAGAAAAGGGGGAATTGAAACGTCGATACACTATAATTCCACTCAATAAAATTTCAGCCCGATGTATTGCTCCAGAAACTCTGAGGGTTGCTCAGAATCTTGTAAGTCTTCTTTATGTTTTATGTACATCTTGTTTTTTAGTTTGGTTTTGTTTTGTTTTAGTTGGAAGACATTAACTTGGGGGACATAATCATATGTAGAACCACAAAATTTTGTTGTTACCATGCCTTAAACATTTAAGCTACAAAAAAAGGGTTGGCTTTTGTGAAAATAGATGGAAGGACCAGTAGAAACAGTGGAAAACTAAAACTACCTTTGATATTACAAAGTTGTAATGTTAAAATGTCTTTAAACCTTCAGTCCGGTCACATGACAATCACATGGTATTAAATTTCCAATCTCTGAGTTACGAGAATTACAGAGTTTATAAATACCAGAATTCTTCAGTTTTTTTTCATGCCAGACACAGTTAAACTGCCCACAGTGACATCTGTTATCTATCAATCTTATAGAGATGCTTCTCTATTAGAGTTTCTCTCGGTTGCCTTCCAGCCTCTGGACATACAAAGCAGGGGACCAGGATACCCATTCAGCTGCTGAGGTGGATCTAAAGTGGTATTGCTATTAGTAAAAAAAATAAAAACAAACCCCAGAGGAGTACAAGGCAATACATTTAAAAGGCAATTATAGTTGTGTAATATTGGGTAATAACATGAAGCCAATCCTAATGTTTAGCAGTGTTACCAGTTTGTTATTGAGCAGGCATTCCAAGTGCATCAATTGAAAAGACAGTTCTGTGAAACTTAGAAATGCATTTATAATTAAGATACTAAATGGATACTCAGTGTTCTTGCTGCTATTGAGAAGCCTTCAGTGAAAATTATTTTAAAATACAGTTGTATTGACATGTATACTCTCAGAAGGAAAATAAGTGCAGAGTAATTGAATGGTAGTGTTTCTGAAAAACAAACTGAGGGTTCTAGAGGGGAGGGGGGTGGGAGGATGGGTTAGCCTGGTGGTGGATATTGAGGAGGGCGCATTCTGCATGGAGCACTGGGTGTTATGCACAAACAATGAATCATGGAACACTTCATCTAAAACTAATGATGTAATGTATGGGGATTAACATAAGAATAAAAAAAAAAAAGGTAGTGTTTCTGGTTAGTACTTTGTTTACTTTGAAAAATCACCATTAGGTCTGGAAGATTTTGGAAGTTACTTCAGCTTTTGGACAAGTCCCAGTGTAAGAAGTGGGGTTTCAGGTAGTAGCAAAAATAGTTTTAGCCAGGTCCCTTAGCCAAACCTTTTTAATGATAGCTGCTATGTCAGAGGGCAATGCTGAACATTTGTTATACAGAGCTGCCTTCATTTTGATTTGTCTTGCTGCTGCTAAGCTCCTTAAAGGATGCTTAGTTGTTTTAAAAAGATGGGCAGAAGTACACATCAACAAAGGTTGAGAAGAGGCAGTTGGATCAAAATACAACACCGAGAGATTTAAAATTTTTTTTACCCTCTCAATGGCTAGTTGTGTTTTTCTGTAACTGATAGGTGGCTGCTTAGCATGTTTAATTTGAATGAAAATGTATTCACTATAGAAAAAGCAAATTAATAATTGAAATAAAACATTTTATATAATTGTGTTGATCCAGCAATTGCCGTATTTTAACTAAGAGAGTGTCCAAATAGTCCATTTTGGATTTAGAAACTTGGTACTGGCTCCTGCTTAATAGACACTCTCATAGTACCTGGTACTTTAAATATTTTACTTAGCCATAGAAGTTTCAATGTTTAAACTTGAAATTTTTTCTAAAACTCTTGTTTTCCATAGTATTTTAGAAAGGTCAAAAGGAATTGTAGTGCTAGGTAAGTGGTACTTAAATTTCTAGTATAGCAGTTCTGTTTTGTAAAATATTTGAAAAGAAAGGGGTAGTATGTACTGTGATATATTTGTTGTTTTCCCACAGGTTGGTCCTAACAATGTTCACGTGGCTCTTTCCCTGGTTGAATACAAACCAGAACTTCAGAAAGCAATGGAATTTGTCTTTGGAACAACGTTTGTTTGTAATAATATGGATAATGCAAAAAAAGTGGCCTTTGATAAAAGGATAATGACTAGAACTGTAACTCTAGGGGGTGATGTATTTGATCCTCATGGGACATTGAGTGGAGGTAGGTTGCTTTTTTGTTTGCAAGGAATAAAAATAGCTAATATTTAATTCATTCTATGCCAGGTGCTATATATATTTGCTTTTTTTTTTCCCCCTCATTTATTCCTTACAACTATTCTATAAAGTTTTATTTTCCAACTTTTTTAGGGAATGAAATTGAAATTAGAAAAGTTTAGTAATGCATTCAATAGCAAATAGTGTTAGAGCTAGTATTTTAACTCAAAGAGTTGGATTTCAGAGCTAATGTTGAACCTCTACTACATATTCTTTCCTCTCTATGTTTATTGAGAACTTAGGATATGCCAGGAACCATACCATTAGTTCATTTAATGTTTCAGTAGCTCTAAGAGATAGGTAAGATTGTAAAAAGGAGAAGCAGAAACAGAGTTATTAAGCATATCAGTTTACTAGTGACTTAAAAATCTAATATTGAAGTGCAAAGATTTATGATTTGACTTTTTATTTATTTACTTTTAGGGTTGGTTGTGGTTTTTTTGGGCTTTACTTTTGGGCTTAAACCTAAATGATAAAAAAAAAAAAAAAGTAAAAATAAATAACTAAAAAGATACACAAGATATGAGACAAACAGCAACAAAAAGAAAGCCTAGAAGACAAGATTAATACTCAGTACTAAATGTATTGAGTCAAAAGGAACTGGAACTTAAAACTCAAAATGGATGAAAGACCTAAATGTGAGACAGGAATCCATCAAAATCCTAGAGGAAAACACAGGCAGCAACCTCTTTGACCTCGGCCACAGCAACTTCTTTCAAGATACATCTCCAAAGGCAAGGGAAACAAAAGCAAAAATGAACTATTGGGACTTCATCAAGATAAAAAGCTTTTGCACAGTAAAGGAAAACGGTCGACAAAATTAAAAGGCAACCTACGGAATGGGAGAAGATATTTACAAATGTCTTATCAGATAAAGAGCTAGAATCCAAAATCTATAAAGAACTTACTAAATTCAACACCGAAAAAACAATCCAGTCAAGAAGTGGACAGAAGAAATGAACAGATATTTCTCCAAAGAAGACATACAAATGGCCAACAGACACATGAAAGAAAAAATGCTCAATGTCACTTGGCATCAGGGAAATACAAATCAAAAACTACAATGAGATACCACCTCACACCAGTCAGAATGGCTAAATTTAACAACTCAGGAGATAACAGGTGTTGCCAAGGATGTGGAAAAAGGGGAACCGTCTTATACTGTTGGTAGGAATGAGAACTGGTGCAGCCACTCTGGAAAACAGTATGGATGTTCCTCAAAAAGTTAAAAATAGAGCTACCATACCACCCAGCAATTGCACTACTGGGTATTTACCCCAAATATACAAACATAGTGATCCGAAGGGGCACATGCACCCCAGTGTTTATAGCCACAATGGCCATAATAGCCAAACTATGGAAAGAGCCCAGATGTCCATCTACAGATGAATGGATAAAGAAGATAAGGTATAAAATACACACATATATTTACATAATGGACTATTACTCAGCCATCAAAAAGAATGAAATCTTGCCATTTGCAATGACATGGATAGAACTAGAGGGTATTATGCTAAGTGAAATAAGTTCCGAGAAAGACAAAAATCATACGATTGCACTCATATGTGGAATTTAAGAAACAAAGCAATGAACATAAGGGAAGGGAAGGAAAAATGAGGAAAACAGGAAGGCAAACCATAAGAGACTCTTAACTCTAGGAAACAAACTGAGGGTTGCTGGAGGGAAGGTGGGGGCGATGGGGTAACTGGGTGATGGGGGCATTAAGGAGGGCACTTGATGGAATGAGCATTAGGTGTTATATGCAACTTGTGAATCACTAAATTCTACCTCTGAAACTAATAATACAGTATGTGTTAGTTAAATTGAATTTAAATAAGACTCAAAAAAGTAAAAAGAATCATTATGCAATATTGATTGTATCAGTTTTTTTCTTTGTAACATACAGTGATGTATTAATTTCAGGTGTACAATTTAGTGATTTGACAATTACATGCAATACCTAGTGCTCATCCCAACAAGTACACTCCTTAATCCCTGTAACCCATTTCACCCATCACCTTACCAGCCCTCCATCTGGTAACCATCAGTTTGTTCTCTATAGTTTAGAGTCTGTTTCTTGGCTTATCTCTCTTTTTCTTCTTTGTTTCTTAAATTCCACATATGAATGAAGTCATATGGTATTTCTCTGACTGACTTATTTCACTTAGCCTTATACTTCCTAGTTCTATCTATGTCTTTGCAAATGGCAAGATTTCCTTATTTCTTATAGCTGAATAATATTCCATGGGGTGTGTGTGTGTGTGTGTGTGTGTGTGTGTGTGTACATACATACATACACACACATACACCACCTCTTCTTTAGCCATTCATCATTCGATGGACAGGTGGGCTGGTTCCATAATTTGGATATTGTAAATAATGCTGCAGTAGACATAAGGTGCATGTATCCCTTTGAATTAGTGTTTTTGTATTTTTTGTGTAAATACCCAGTGGTGTGATTGATAGACCATAGGGTAGTTCCATTTTTAACCTTTTGAGGAACCTCCATACTGTTTTTCACAGTAATTGCACTAGTTTGCGTTCCCACTGGCAGTGCAAAAGAGTTCCTGTTTTTTAACATCCTCTGCCACACTTGTCTCTTGTGTTTTTCATTTTAGCCATTCTGACAGATGTGAGGTGATACCTCATAGTTCTGATTTGCATTTCCTTGCGGAGTGATGAGCATCTTTTCAGGTGTCTAAGGGCCATCTATATTTCTTATTTGGAGAAATGCCTCTTCATGTCTTCTCATATTTTTTTTTTTTAAAGATTTTATTTATTTATTTGAGACAGAATGAGAGAGAGAGAGAGAGCACATGAGAGTGGGGAGGGTCAGAGGGAGAAGCAGGCTCCCTGCCGAGCAGGGAGCCCGATGCGGGACTTGATCCAGGGACTCCAGGATCATGACCTGAGCCAAAGGCAGACGCTTAACCAACTGAACCACCCAGGCGCCCTGTCTTCTCATTTTTTAATTGGATTTTTTGGGTTTTGGGTGTTGAGTTTTATCAGTTTTTTATATATTTTGGATACTTATTAGATATGTCAGGTGCAAATATCGTCTCCCATTCTGTAGGCTGTCTTTTAGTATTGTTGATTGTTTCCTTTGCTGTGCGGAAGCTTTTTATTTTCATGTAGTCCCAAATGTTTATTTTTGCTTCTATTTCCCTTTCCTTGAGAGATGTGTCTAGAAAAATGTTGCTGTGACCTATATCAGTGACATTACTGTCGGTATTGTCTTCCAGGAATTTTATGGTTTTAGGTCTTACAGTTCCGTCTATTCCATCTTGAGTTTATTTGTGTGTGTGGTATAGGAAAGTGGTCTACTTTTATTGCATGTAGCTGACCAGTTTCCCAACACCATTTGTTGAAGAGATATCTTTTTCCCATTGGATATCTTTCCTCCTTTGTCAAAGATTAATTGACCATATAATTGTGAATTTATTTCTAGGTTTTCTGTTCTGTTCCATTGATTTGTGTGTATGTTTTTGTGCCAGTACCATATTCAAAATAATATGGATGTGGATTATATTAAAAATAACTTGAAGTCTGGAACTGTGATACCTCCAGATTTGCTTTTCTTTTTCAAGATTGCTTTGACTATTTGGGGTCTTTTGGGGTTCCATACAAATTTGAGGATTCTTCTAGTCTGAAAAACCCTGGTTGGTATTTTGAGAGGGATTGCATTAAATGTGTAGATTGCTTTGCGTAGTTTGGACATTTCAACAATATTTGTTCCATTCCATGAGCATGGAGTATCTTTTCTGTCACCTCTATTTCTTTCATCAGTTTTTTGTAGAGTTTGGAAATATAGGTGTTTCACCCCCTTGATTAAGTTTCTCTTTCGGGTGCTTCATTATTAGTATATAGAAGTACAACATTTATGCACATTGATTTTTGTATCCTGAATCTTTACTGAATTCACTGATCAGTTCTAGGAGTTTTTTGGTGGAGTCTTTAGGGTTTTCTATATATTGTATAATGTCATTTGGAAATTGTGTAAGTTTTACTTCTTCCTTACCAATTTGGATGCCTTTTATTTCTTTTTTGTTGGCTGATTGCTCTGGCTAGGACTTCAGTACCATGTTGAATAGAAATGGTGAGAGTGGGCATCCTTGTCATGTTCCATACCTTCGAGTAAAAGCTCTGTTTTTCCCCATTGAGTAGGATGTGAGCTGTAGGTTTTTTGTAGATAGATGGCCATTATTATGTTGAGGTATGTTCCCTCTAAACCTACTTTTTTGAGGGCTTTTATTATGAATGGATGTTCTACTCTCTGGGATGCTTTTTCTGCATCTGTTGAAATGATCATATGGTTTTTGTCCTTTCTCTTGATGATGTGATGTATCACAATGATTAATTTGCGAATGTTGACCCACCCTTGCATCCTGGGAGTAAATCCCACTTGATTATGGTGAATGATTTTTTTAAAATGTAGTTTTGGATTTGGTTTGCTAACATTTTGTTGAGGATTTTTGCATATATATTCATCAGAGATACTAGCCTATGGTTCTCTTTTTTTGTGGTGTCTTTATTTGGTTTTGGTATAAGGGTAATGCTGGCCTCAGAAAAGGAATTTGGAAGGAATTTTCCTTTTTCTATTTTTTTTTGGACTAGTTTGAGAAGAATAGGTATGTTAACTGTTCTTTAAATGTTTGGTAGAATTTGCGTGTGAAGCCATCTCGTCCTGGACTTCGGCTTTTTGGCAGTTTTTATATTACCGATTCAGTCTCCTTGCTGGTAATCACTCTATTCAAATTCTCTATTTCTTTCTGTTTCAGTTTTAGTAGTTTATGTTTCTAGTTTATCCATTTCTTCTAGGTTCTCCAATTCGTTGGCATATAGTTCTTCATAATATTTTCTTAGAGTTGTTTGTATTATCTGTGTGGTTGGTTGTTATTCTCTTTCATTTGTAATTTTATTTATTTGAGTCTTTCCTCTTGTTCTTTC